GCTGCTCATTATAGTGCTATAGTCATCTGGTGGAGATGTTAAATTGAGGTCATTAAATATCCCAGGGTGCTTTTCCAAAACAGTAGAGCTATAAGCTTGACGTCTTGGACAAATTTTCCCAATTGGACTTCATCAGTCAGCCTCCTCATCATCCCCTGTATAGAACTGGCTACATGACTCCTCCTCTCCACCAATAGCTGATGTGATGTGCGTTGTGATGCATTGTAGAAGTCATCCAGGTGGATCCTACACACTAGTGGTTAACAAAGTGCTAAATATAATGTATTATTATTTATTATTAATCATGTACTCTTAAGAGAAAGCACTCCTTATGTGTAAATTAGCCCTTGGCCTGGCCCAGTTACACACGGCAAACTGACATTAATGAGCAGTGAGCGATCTGGTGATTTAGAGGTGGGGCAGCTCCACTCCACACTAGGAAAATAAACGCAAATAATAGATCTCCGGGCTGTAATTAAACGGATTGTGATTCAACAATGAAGTCATGAGTGTGTCATTTAGCTGGAAGTAACGCAGCCTGTGAGCCACATTAAGGAGTGTGATCACATCTCCCTGCACGGTGAGACTCTCGGCGGTTCCATAGTAACACGTTGTTGTCACCTGCGAGCGGTGGCGCGGACTGGCACACTAGGTGATGACGTGGCAAGCTGCTCGTGCGGTCCGTAGGAAACCCACTTCTCTGTGCTTTATGAGCTTGTGCTGAATTAACTATTGTGTAGGGGTTTTCATAGGCCAGATAAATGAAAGCCAAATAGTATTTAACAGTAGAGTTTAATAGATTTGGTGTGTTTCACTCAAAAGTAAATATATTGCCTTGTTTAGAAGGTCTGTTAATATACTACTTTTTTTTTTTTTTTGCTCCCAGGATAATACATCTGAGATGTTCTTTTAAGAGACAGTTAGTACCTTTAAGTGTAGGCTACTTGTGTATTCACATCAAATATAATAATGTCCATTCCTTCATTGATGTCATAACAGTCCACTGTTGTATTAGGTTTTGTTTATAAAAAAAGCTTTTTAAACATACATTTGTTACCTTTTGTGGTTTGTGTATAATATACACGTACAAAAAAAGTCAGCTGTGGTTGCCAAAACTGTACCATAGAAAATATGGTCGCGATATTTTATGTTTTACAGAATTTTTACAGAATACTGATTTTTTTTAATTATTAACTGAAATTATGTAAATATACCAAATTACTAAGTTTAGTATTTTACCTTTTTATAATATGCTGACAAGACAACCACCTCAAAAACACAGGTGGTAAAGAGAAAGCCACATGATGAATCAAATTTCGTCATATTACAGTAAGAAGCTTTTCCACAAGGTGATGTAAATACTAATATAGAAGCTGCACACGGTATCATCCATACAAATACTGCTATTTTTTATTTTTTTACAGTGTATCATTCTAAAATGTGCATGTTTTACTGCTCTTCTGTGTTATGTTTAGCTAGCTAGAGTCACACACTCAGATGTAAGGGAACAAAAGACACGGCAAGTGAGTATCGTGTGAATAGCATGCTCAATTAGAGCACAAACAAATAGAAACATGTTTGCCTTTTGTCAAGCCCATTTCTTAAAAGAGATCAAGTTGCGCATGCACAGTTTTTGGTGATGTTAGCTTAGTTAGATTTGATTAAATTAAATTGGTCTCCCCCTTCATTTATTATTATTTTTTTTTACCTGTGAACCTAGTGTGGCAACCCTGCTGTAAAGGCCAGAACTAATTATGCTGTTTCTCGCTCTTAGATTTTCACACCACTGCCTGGAACATCTGCACCCTGTCATGTAGCATCCTATTCATTTCTACTTAATTTGATCCTAATATGTGTCTACATGAGGAGCCAGATGTTGCCAGAGACTGTGGCACTGAAAGTTTTGTTTTAGAGAGTTTGAACCTTGCATGGGAATTTGAACCCTCGCTTCGCACGGTGTGTGTAGATGGCAGTCAAGATTATTTCCATAATCATTAATATGTAATAAAACATGGTGATTTTTTTTCTCTCTCTCTTTGCTTCAGTCTATCAGAACACGTATCAATCCATCCTAATTTGACATGCCTCCCTTGGGTGGGACTGAAGTTGTTTTTCTGTCATTAATTTCACATTTATTTTTAAGGGATGCTTGCGATTTGTGCTGACCATAAGATGATTTAGATCCAGAGCTCACAGAATTATTATTATTATTTTTTTTTTGCATTATCTATTTTGCTAATGTTTTTCTGCCCTAAAACTAAACTGTAACTAATGTTATTTAATCTAATTTCCACAATAAAGGATTTATTCCCAATGCATATGAAAAGTAGGCGATATGATGTACTGTTTAAAGAAAAAAGTAGCCTATGTAATGAATAGATTCGATTACATCTCACTTAGTCTAGCTGAATTTTGTAATGTCGCTCAACGTATTTCACATTAGAGTGATTTACAGAGTATCAAAGCTCTTTGGCACTTTTCCACTATTTTAGTACTTCGCATGATGGATGTGAGCTTCAACTGAGACCTTCATGTTGTTTTCCTGTTGCAGTTCATAAGGGAGGAGGGTCCATGGCTCAGCACTTGTCTGATTAAGGAGATGAAAACCCTCGTGCTTCTCTCATAATAAGCACCATATGTTGCCCACTGGCCCCTCACTTGTGCCTTGTCATATCGAGTGGCTCCCAGACATGCCTCTTGACATGCCCTGCATCAAGCTCCTGGCCTGAACTAATGAGAAAAGTGTTTAGCGCTGGCGAGCACATCCCCGGTCCTGAGTGTGAGAGGCGCGTCGCTGGAAAAGATGTGGGCCATATGTCCCAGAGTGCCCAGCCCCCTTTCCTCTGCGTTGGCATATGGAAGACAACCTCCCCTGATGGCACAGGGTCCAAAACATGGCATACAGAGCGCCAAATGTTTGCTGCCGCGAGACTGAGGTGTTCTCGACGTTATCGGAATAGCCACAGATGTACTGTACATTTCCAATTGTGGCCCGTTTCATGAATTCAGGGTTTGTTTTATTGAACATGAAACTGAGCACCGATTAGCTTTTTTCCATTATGTTATTCTTTTAGCGGCTTGCATGCTGGTAGATTAAAATGTGGTAGTTACCACTGACAATGTTGAAATTGCATTAGTGTAAGTATTTGGATGTGCCAGCTCTTGATTGGGATTTTTTAAATTTATTATTATTATTATTATCTGAAGCAGATTGGTTGGGCAATTTGCAGCATTTTCTTATTTATTGTTTTATACTCAAGGGAAGCCGAGCGTTCCTGTCGGGAGACACGGATGTTGATTCAGACTCCCACCATTGAAACATACACCCATGTGTCTAGAGAGGCATCTGCTCCTGTTTAACCCCATCGGTTAGCATTGAGAGGAGCGGCAACCCGCACGCGGCCTACGCCCGCTCCACGCCTGTCCCATCATGGAAAAGAGAGTGGGGCTGCAATGCATCTCGTCGAAGTGAAAAAGGAGGTTGTTGGAACCTGTATGTGGGATTTGTCAAGCATTGCTAGCAATAGTTTAAGGTTTATCAGTGATGATTTCTAATTACAGGCTCACTAGATGTTCTTGGTGAACTACCATGTACTGCCTGGGAACATAAAAGACTCCTCAAGCCACATATGTCTGTCTCATTTGTTTACTATAATGAGCACAAAGTTATATCGATAATGACAAGGGATAGGCTTATTGATCTTGAGGTATTGATACTTTTAATTTTATGTGAGATTGATTTGTGTGTTGTTTTTTCCTTGACAAGTGATTTTATTATATATAATAAATTCCACTTAATTCCACTTATGTAAAGCGCTCTGAGAATTAATTTTAAAAGCGCTATACAAATATATATATATATATATATATATATATATATATATATATATATATATGTGTGTGTGTGTGTATATATATATATATATATATATATATATATATATATATATATATATATATATATATATATATATATATTTTGTATAGATATATAAATCACTTGTCAAGTTCAAATAAAATCATTTTTAAATTAAATTAATACTTTGGTTTCTATTTCAAATAAATGGTGTTATTTTGAATGTTCTATTCATCAAAGTTAAAATATGAATTTAACTGTTTTTAATGATAATATACTAAATGTTTCTTGAGCACCAAATTTTTTATTAGGATGATTTCTGAAGGATCATGTGACACCGAAGACACATGTAACAGTCATGCTGAAAATTCAGCTTTACCATCACAGGAATAAATGACATTTTAAAATAAATTTCAGTTATTTTTTTAATTGAAATAATATTTTATTGTACTTTTGATCAAACCATAAATGATGGCAGATAGAGAGATAGAAACCTCATCTGGAGTTAATTCACATTAAATAATAAACAAAGCTATTTTATTTATATTAGAACAAATGTCACAAAAACCTCGTTTGCTTAAAGTAGAAGTTGTTAAAATTCTGATTTGTGTTTAATAATGTTGATTATTAACAATTTGCAATTTAGGCCCTTCAAGAGATTATAAATTGTTGTTAAATGGTTTTATTTTCAGAAAATGCAAAAATATTGTATTTGAAAAAAAAAAAATGTATCAATAATATTGTACTGTGAACTTTGTCAGATACAAAAACTGGTATCATCCATCATTCCTCAAACGTGGGTATCTCCTCTCTGAGGTGCTGATTTCTCATATCTAAATGTTTTTATTGTGGATTAGCAACATATGACACAATTAGAAAAAGGCAGAATCAAAGATGCAGACTCATTGAAACACCCATTTCATTCTTACATTTGCAGTGCTCCTCACAGCACTACACTGCCGAGCTCAATGTCTCATGTAAAGACTGTCAGAGAGTGCCTGACGTGGCTTTGTGCTCTCAGTTTCAGTGCTGTCATACTAGATGACTGTGCAGGTTCTTCAGGCGAATGGGGCTGTCAGCTGACTTCATGCTCATTGTCTAACATTCTCACACACTCTGCCAATGAAAGCTTTGCCCCCTCAGGCAAAGTACATGGCAGACTGCTTTGTTCTACATGCTACTGAAACGCTGCTGCTCTCCTGCTAAACTGGGAGCGTCCGATGCAATTAATGTAACAGAAGAAATCTCACTCTGTGATTCAGAGGCAGGATTCTGCTCGCATGCTCCTTTTAATTAATGTTGACGTATACACTAAATTATTTCAGTGCGTGCAAGATGTCGAAATGGCTATGTGGAAATTGAATGTAGGGGAGCGTGGGGTAAGATGTGTCAGTGTTATCGCCATTAAAACTAGCTAATTTCTAATTGTATTTTTTTTTTTTTAAGGAAGGCCCACCAGCTGCCTGTGACCTGAAAGATGCACATCAGAAATGCTAAGCTTTTTTGCTGAAATCAAAATGTCTTTTCAAGAATCAGAGGTTAGTGCTGGCCAATCATTTGTGTGTGTGCATGTGTGTGTATATATATATATATATATATATATGGGTTCAATGTCAGAGTTGGAAGCCCATTTTTTTCCAGTAATTGTGAAGTTAATTTATCATATTGTATTTTCAGAAAAGTTTTGGAATATTTTTCCTCTCCCCAAATGTATCACTACCAAAACACAATAATAAATTTGATAAAAAGGCTTATATTGGCCAATTAATATTTTGTTTACCTTATCTACCTTGTAAATATATTTTTTTGCAATTTAAAAAAAATATAATTCACAGGTAAATCAATAACAATTACAATTTTATCAATATGTTAAGTGTGATTTATAAGATTTTTTTGAATTTTGAATCCAATCTTTCTTTATAAAAGGCATTAAGTTAATCATACTAAATTCAAAGTTAAGGATTCATTAGTTTGAATATACATTGAACCAAACAATGTCACAACCGAAACTTCACAACATGTTTCAGTAGTGACCATTTTAGGTACTTTTGAGCCTAGATCAAAAATGATAACCAGCACATAACCAGGTTACCTAACACAGTTCTGAACAGTTGTACACGCATAAAAACTCAATTTTATTGAGTAACACCCAAAAGATTTTCCTTAATTGCAGAAAAAAGTGTTTGGTTGTGACGTTCCTTAAAGTTACTCACAGATTTTCAGACTTTTGAACACATTTCCCTCAAAATGATGGTACCTATCTACAATGAAAGAGAGGGACACTGGAATATTTCCTGATCAGAAATTGTAGGGGTTTGGTTAAAATCAGTCTTAGCCAATGGACTAAAACATGAAAATGCGAGACACATTTTTTTTAAGTTTCATGATTTAAAAATAAAATATAAAATAAATGTTTTTTTTTTTACTTCACTTTTTAAAAGAAATCAAAAATATATTTTTAAAAACAACAATGGAAAAAATTTAAAACATTTCGATATCATTTTCACAAGTTGAAATTTTAGGGGTTAGGGTTCAGGACAGCCACCTCCATATATATATATATACTTTTACCGCAATATAGTGAAATGTTAACAATCTTTGTGATAATCTCACTAAAAGTCTTAAAGGCGACACTCTAATTTTTACTGGCTTTCACTGTGATCTGTTCGAATTGGTTATTAATGTTGCACTCTGATATTTCTGAGATGTATAATTCATCAGTCACTGTTCATGTGACCATCTCTTCGATAGTGCTCCTTGGAGGTGTTTTGAGCCCTTCATTATAACTCCAGCTTCAGTCTTTGGGGAGATACGCACGGCCCCGTCAGTCTCTCTCCATCGCAGCACACTCACATATCAGAGCGCTGGGCAGATGCTGAGAGCCGAAACCAGATGCTAGCTGTGCTACTGTTAATAGAGTGTGTGTGTGTGTGTGTGTTTGTGTGAGCGGGTGCCGATGTGTATGACGGGGAAATTAGTAAACCGTAGAAGAAAGAAAGATAATCGTGGCATCGTGTTACTTGTAACTGACTGAGAAAGATAGACAAAGAACATTGTTCCTGCCGAGAGAGAAAAGACAGAAAAAAAGGGAACAAATCGGAGACGCATAAATATAAATGTATGAAATGGTCATTATTATTTCATACAAATGCCTTTCTTTGCTTGAAAAATTTAAGCTGCAGCAGCAGTGCCAATGCAGCGTATGTCAGAAAAAAAGCCCTGGGACCACAGATGATTTAACTGGGAGAGGAGAGCGTATGCAAAAACCACATGTGCAACAGCCAGCAGTAAACAGTAAATATGTGGTCAGCTTGGCAGGACACTGCATTTTCTTTAGAGTGCACAGACAATTTGTGTCAAATAAGAAGAAGGCAAGCTCACTCGCTTGCTCTCTCTCTCTCTGGGTCTGAGGAAACACCCTTTTCTCATTTTGTAAGTGACTATTTTGAGGCCGTTTGTTGTAGTGTACACCGTGCTAAAACTAACTGCTGTACTGCGAAACTTCCACTGTTAAAGATAAAAGTAGGTTATATACTGTGTATATGTATATATATATATAAAAAGATTTGTACTTCTAAAAACAGTGAAACTATTAGTTTAGCTACATTTTTTTTAATAATATCTTTTCAGCATCAAAGCTATTTTAATGTTAAACTAGACAAACATTGTATTTTCCTTTACAATATATAAAATGGCTGTTTAGCAGTATTTTTTTATTATTAACTTGCCTGATACTGAAAAAAATTGCATTTTAATAAATATGAAACTAACTCAGAATAAATCTAATTGTTTAAGCTTTAGTTTTACCTTACTTTTTGTAGTGATCACCTTACAATATCCTGAATCTAACATCCTCTTTCTGCCATTGAACGGCTGTTCCAGATGAGCGGGAGGTCATATCTCTCTCACTAATGTCAGATGCATGTTAGCGTGGAAAATGTTGGGCAAATTCTGTCTGTATTCAGACCAAACCTTTATCTCCTCCCTAGTGTGCGGAGCCGCTTTCAGGCACATTACGGCTCATAATGAAAGCAGAAATGATTTATCAGGACAAATGCGAGAGGGAGGTGATTGATGTGATAAATATTTACACTTGGAGTTGGGGTGGTGTTTTTGAATACGTACTACACAGCCTTTTGGAGACAGATATTTTTGTCGCATTCTAAAACTCGACCAACTGCTCTCTGAAAACATGCGTTTTTGCATAATTATTTGTCACCACCGACAAACCATAATGCATTTGCACCATGTCCTATTGATTTAGCCAATGTTGCATTTCACGACTGAGGTTTTTTTGAAAACAGGGAGTCTAATTAGAGGCCTGGCTGATGATGCTCTGTCCTCTCAGTCCATCGTAAGGAATTAACTGTCTCTATCTCCGCATTATTCAGCCGCGGCATCATTGACCATCTGCACATAAAAATAAACAAGAAATGATTTTTGTGCCTCTGTAGAACCCTCACAGCAGTGGCACCTTTGATGTGTACTCCTTGATCTGTTTGGCCCATGGTGTCATATCCCCCTGTGATGTACTGGATTAATTAGGCGGAACGGGTATTTATCCGTTAAAATCATAATACTAATTTACCCAATGCGCTGTGGTGCCTCTGTGGGTGGCGGTGGTGGCTCAACGTTTTTTTTCTTCTTCTTCTTCTTCTTGCTTGAGAAGGTGCTCAGCCTCACATGTGTCAGACTAATGCTTTCCATACAAAACACAGAAAAAACCCAAATCACTGGCTCTGATCAATTCGACTCTTCTGCTCTGATGGTGCACTCCTCCTGTTTTATTTTGCTTAGTCTAGAGAATATACCAAGATAAAATAAAAATAAAAAATCTTTATAAATAGATCATTAAATATGAATTAATTTAACATGTTGAGTATGAATATTTTATTGTTTTATATTCTATTCTATTAATTATATTAGGTTATATTGTATTGTCTTAATAATAATTAATAATTATTTAAGTGGTCCTATGTAATTTACATTTGAAATGGAATACTCCCTTTTTTCAGTTGATGTATATGTACATATAAATATATACATTTTTACATACATTTTTTTTTCTGTTTAGATAATATAATGCCTTGGGAAATCATTTAAATTATATTTCTAATTTTTTTTAGACACTATTTCCCTATTTGTCATTGATTAGCGCAAATGTGTTTTTCACCGAGGTGCCCATCAGACCAGATTCAACCATTTACACTTATTTCATTAAATTATATATTAATGAATTATGACAGCTTTGACTTGTCTTGCAAACACACATCTCTGCTGTCTCTTTTTCTCGCTCCCCCTTTCACAAACAAGCTCCCGCTTTCTCTCTCTGTCTCTCTCTCTCTCTCTCTCACCTACACACAGCAGAGACAAACGTACCTACCCTACCTCTCACACACTCCCGCACACAACTCTGTCAACACGCCCTCCTGCCCAGCGCCCTCTCCATCGAACCTTGTTTCTTTGTGCTAAACCAAATATAGAGTATATTGTCCATCTGTGTACAATGGGCCAGTGTGGAGCCTGTGGTCCTCTGGACTGAATGTAGCCTGTTCTCCGGCCCTGGGCTGTGAATGCTATCGGCGCGCTGCAGCATACGGAGCGTGTACTATTCCCATACCCAGACGCATTGCTCTGGGGGATAAGACCGGCACAATTGATAGAAAGTGTATTCTTTTCCATGGGTTCCCACCAGCAAGCCCGTTTCCGGGGCCTTATCAAAGAACAAACGCCTTTGAAAAGCATGGTAAACAAAGCACCGGGAAGCATTGTTGCCCACACTTTGACAGGAGTAATCTGGCTTATCCATCAGCCTACATTTGGAGTCTGTCCGGGCCCCACCCAGCGGCTCCAGGGGTTGAGATCCAGATGCTTTCACACCTCTACGTGCTCCGAGGTGTCTATAGTGAGCAGACATATCGTACTAGTGCCAGCGTTCTTTCATGCTGTCTCGCTTATTCCCCATTGAGCAGAAGCAGCACAGAAACACTTCCACCACCGTTCCTTAACAGACACACTTTTTCTAAAGCTATTTGTTTATTACACCATTTTTCAAGTGTTGTGGAAATATATGCACTGTGTGTACGTGAGTTAAGGCCAAATGCTCTCTCTTCCCTTATATGCTGATATTGATTCTCTCAAATGTACATATGACACATACTACTATCTCATGAAAGAGGTAATATTTTGTTGATAATATTTTTTTTTGCTTTATGCACACTTTATTGCATAAAATCTACATACTTTTTACACTTTAACCCACAATCAGTGTTTAGTAGCGTTTAGGTTTAATATATTTTGAATAATTATTTATGCAATTTTAAAATATATATATATACAGCAGAGCATCTCATCTTGCTGAAAGAGCTCACCTTTGGGACTTAGAGCCACAGTATAGTGCCATCTACTGGAAAATAACCACCCTGCACTTCATATAACCACCTTCTAGCGTGGATTTGTGAACGGGAGAATACCACTTAAAGCTTCAAGCCATAATCATTCAAAATACAGATACATACTTTGATCAAGGTTAGCAGTC